TCTTGTAATCCCAAAACCATCCAGCTGATGTAAAAACCAGCTATACTACAGACCAGATGGATACTGTTTTTCCTTTGGTTATTTGGATGTTCCAAAGAGCAGTGCCTTTATGATCATTTTTTGCACTTTTATATTAAACAGATGCAGCTTGTTTGTAAAGACAGTTCCAAGTCATTTTTCTTTACATTTATGAAACAAAACAAAAAGACAATGGCATAGAGTTTTATTTTTTATGATGTTGGAATTCACTGTATGAGGGTAAAAGTGTAGACATTATATAAATATAGGGACATTACAGGGTTTTTAAATCTATCTTCTAATACATATCTACACACACACACACTTAAATATAAATAAATATACGTAAGTCTGACTCTACCCCCACTACCAATGTAACTCCATGGACTTCAGTGGAGTTATCGCGGGTTTACACCCGTGTGAATGAAGATCAGGCACTATATATTAGGGTTGCCAGCTTTCTAATATCGAAAACCCTTTCCCCGAGGCTCTGCCTCTGCCCCACCCCTTTTCCAAGGCCCTACCCCCACTCACTCCATCCCCCCGTCCTGTGCTCTCCCCCACCCTCACTCACTTTCACCAGGCTGGGGAAGGGGGTTGGGGTACAGGATGGGGTGAGGGCTGTGGCTGAGGGTGGGGCCAGGGATGAGGGATGTAGTGTGTGGGAGGGAGCTCAGAGCTGGGGTATGGGAGGGGGTATGGGGTGCAGGTTCTGGGATGGAATTTGGGTGCAGGAGGAGGTTCTGACCTGGGGCAGGGGGTTGGGGTGTGGGAGGTGGTTTGGGGTGTGGGATCTGGGCAGCACTTACCTCAGGTGGCTCCTGGAAGTGGCTGGTATGTCTCTGCAGCTCCTAGGTAGAGGTATGGCCAGGGGGCTCTGCGCACTGCCCGTGCCTGCAGGTGCCACCCCCACAGCTCCCACTGGCCACAGTTACCAGCCAATGGGAGCTGCAGAACCAGCGCTCAGGGCAGGGGCAGCGTGTGCAACCCCTGTGGCCACTCCTTGCACCTAGGAGCAGGATATGTGGGTCACTTCCGGGAGCAATACGGAGCCAGGGCAGGCAGGGAGCCTGCCTTAGCCCCGCTGCACAGCCAAGTGGACATTTAGCAGCCTGGTCAACAGTGCTGACCAGAGCTGCCAGGGTCCCTTTTCGATCAGGCGTTCTGGTCGAAAACCAGACACCTGGCAACCCTATTATACATATAGTGTATATTCTATATACAGTTCTCTTTATAGAAGCATATTACTAATTTTAAAATGTTTCTGTTGTTCTGTAATATTTAGTCCCTGATTCTACGCTCTCACTGACTGAGTATAACAGAAACACTTAAAAACAAAACAAAACAGAAAGACACCTTTATAAAGAGTATTGTTTCCCTAGTAACTGAATGCCAGCTTCTTTTTGACTGATTACATGTAGGGACCAGCATGTGTCCCAATATAGGGCCTGACCGTGAAAGGTACTGAGTACTCACAACTTCTGTTTGCTTCCATAGGAGCTGACTGTTCAGCATGTCTCAAGATAATTTCCTTAATTTCTATGGCTAGCCAGGCACAGATAGGCTAAAAATAAATATGCATTTGTGTTGCTGACCTATTCAAACTGTGACTGACAGCCCCTAGAGCAATTTGCTAGCTAATCAGGTAGGAGGCTTCTCCCATAACCCTGGCCTCCACATTCAGTTTTGACCTCTATTGTGAAATGTTTTGCCCTTTGACCTAAGAAGAAAATGAAACTCAGTATATGACCAATTCCATTACACAGAATGGACACAATACAGTTAGATCTAAAAGCTTTTGAAATTAAATTAACTACTTAAGAAACATACTTAAAACCTGAAATGCAGGATAAGGACCTTCACTTGGTTGAAAGTGCTCCTTTTCCCTTTGGTCTTAAGAGGCCCGACCAAAACTGACCTCATCCCAAAATATTTCACATTCCAAGACTGCCCATTCTCAAATATTTAATTATAAGTCAGCTTGGAAGGATTAGATTTTTATTGGTAAAGGTCGATTTCATCCGATGCACATGAACTGATGAAAAAAATATTTCCATCAGTAATAGTCAAAAATATATAGACAGGCAAAGTAAGAAAAATGCTGCTTGAAAATTATTAGAGCTTGATTTAAGGATATATACTTTGTGTATTTTGACATGTGATGTTGACCATTTGTGTCTGAACAGTCATAATGCTTTAATGTTTTGCATCTCAACACCTACTGTCATTACATAATTACTATCTGACCTCCCCCCATCCCCTGACAATAGTTTCTGGCAAATGTAAAATTTGAAACTGATAAAAATAGAAAAAAGACCTGAAACCCGTAATTTCATGCAACTGAAAATTTACATTGACAAAAATATTAAAAAAATGCTTAAAACTAAATATCAATATTATCTGTCAAAATTAATAAAAATTGAATTCTGCCAAGTCTTATTATGAGTATTGTTATTGCTACTGACTATTATTTTCAGTCTGCCCTTGGTTACTTTATTTGTTATAGCCTGAGGCTCTATTATCAAGATTATAAACCAATGCTATTATAATTCCCTACTTCGGATGACCTAAATTTTGGAAACATTCATCTTCCGGGCTGAAATTTGCTATGCTTGGTTCCTGTTCAAAAGCATTTTTTTACTTTGAAAGTTTGAGCAACAGAACTTCAGGCTTTACTGAATGAGTGAAAAAAATGCATTTCTGCACTACAGTAAAAAATAAATAAATCAGGAGACCCTTTTCGTCACAATATCTTGGTAGTCATAGAATCATAGAATCATAGAATATCAGGGTTGGAAGGGACCCCAGAAGGTCATCTAGTCCAACCCCCTGCTCAAAGCAGGACCAATTCCCAGTTAAATCATCCCAGCCAGGGCTTTGTCAAGCCTGACCTTAAAAACCTCTAAGGAAGGAGATTCTACCACCTCCCTAGGTAACGCATTCCAGTGTTTCACCACCCTCTTAGTGAAAAAGATTTTCCTAATATCCAATCTAATCCTCCCCCACTGCAACTTGAGACCATTACTCCTCGTTCTGTCATCTGCTACCATTGAGAACAGTCCAGAGCCATCCTCTTTGGAACCCCCTTTCAGGTAGTTGAAAGCAGCTATCAAATCCCCCCTCATTCTTCTCTTCTGCAGGCTAAACAATCCCAGCTCCCTCAGCCTCTCCTCATAACTCATGTGTTCCAGACCCCTAATCATTTTTGTTGCCCTTCGCTGGACTCTCTCCAATTTATCCACATCCTTCTTGAAGTGTGGGGCCCAAAACTGGACACAGTACTCCAGATGAGGCCTCACCAATGTCGAATAGAGGGGAACGATCACGTCCCTCGATCTGCTCGCTATGCCCCTACTTATACATCCCAAAATGCCATTGGCCTTCTTGGCAACAAGGGCACACTGCTGACTCATATCCAGCTTCTTGTCCACTGTCACCCCTAGGTCCTTTTCCGCAGAACTGCTGCCTAGCCATTCGGTCCCTAGTCTGTAGCTGTGCATTGGGTTCTTCCGTCCTAAGTGCAGGACCCTGCACTTATCCTTATTGAACCTCATCAGATTTCTTTTGGCCCAATCCTCCAATTTGTCTAGGTCCTTCTGTATCCTATCCCTCCCCTCCAGCGTATCTACCACTCCTCCCAGTTTAGTATCATCCGCAAATTTGCTGAGAGTGCAATCCACACCATCCTCCAGATCATTTATGAAGATATTGAACAAAACCGGCCCCAGGACCGACCCTTGGGGCACTCCACTTGATACCGGCTGCCAACTAGACATGGAGCCATTGATCACTACCCGTTGAGCCCGACAATCTAGCCAGCTTTCTACCCACCTTATAGTGCATTCATCCAGCCCATACTTTCTTAACTTGCTGACAAGAATACTGTCCAAATGGCTGAATTGGGAGCTGTGGAGCTAGTGCTTGGGGCAGGGTGGAGGCAGCGCGCAGAGCCACCTGCCGTGCCTCTGCCTAGGAGCAGCCAGGATAGGTCGCTGCTTGTGGGGAGCCACCCAAGGTTAGCACCCCCCGGATTCGGAACCCCACACTCCCTCCCATGCCCCAACCCACTGCCCCAAACCCCCTCCCTCCCAGAGGCCGTGCTCCACACCCCCTCCCGTGCCCCCACCCCGATCCCCCTCCTGTACCCAAACTCCCTCCCTCTTAGTTAACGGTAATTTTTCACTTACTGGCACCCCTGATTCCCGCAACATGCCGGAGAAAACAGCTTTGCTGTATATAGAACAATATAAACGAGTCACTGTCTGTATGAAATGTTAGTTTGTACTGACTTCGCTAGCGCTTTTTATGTAGCCTGTTGTAAAACTAGGCAAATATCTAGATGAGTTGACATGCCCCCTGGAAGACCTCTGTGTATCCTAGGGGTACACATAACCCTGGTTGAGAACCACTGCTCTAGTCCCACTGCTCTAGATAGTCCCTTCCTGGCAGCCACCCCTCTCCTTTGATCTCCATCATCCCCCAGCTATTGCTGACCCAGCAATTAGCCACAATTGAGAAGATAATTTGCCTACCTGTTAACCCCTTAGTGGCTGTGGTGGAATGGCATCTATCCACCCCATGTTTCAGAGTAACAGCCGTGTTAGTCTGTATTCGCTAAAAGAAAAGGAGGACTTGTGGCACCTTAGCCCTGGTCTACACTAGGACTTTAGGTCGAATTTAGCAGCGTTAAATCGATGTAAACCTGCACCCGTCCACACAATGAAGCCCTTTATTTCGACTTAAAGGGCTCTTAAAATCGATTTCCTTACTCCACCCCGACAAGTGGATTAGCGCTTAAATCGACGTTGCCGGGTCGAATTTGGGGTACTGTGGACACAATTCGATGGTATTGGCCTCCGGGAGCTATCCCAGAGTGCTCCATTATGACCGCTCTGGACAGCACTCTCAACTCAGATGCACTGGCCAGGTAGACTGGAAAAGAACCGCGAACTTTTGAATCTCATTTCCCGTTTGGCCTGCGTGGCAAGCTGCAGGTGACCATGCAGAGCTCATCAGCACAGGTGACCATGATGGAGTCCCAGAATCGCAAAAGAGCTCCAGCATGGACCGAACGGGAGGTACGGGATCTGATCGCTGTTTGGGGAGAGGAATCCGTGCTATCAGAACTCCGTTCCAGTTTTCGAAATGCCAAAACCTTTGTGAAAATCTCCCAGGGCATGAAGGACAGAGGCCATAACAGGGACCCGAAGCAGTGCCGCATGAAACTGAAGGAGCTGAGGCAAGCCTACCAGAAAACCAGAGAGGCGAACAGCCGCTCTGGGTCAGAGCCCCAAACATGCCGCTTCTATGATGAGCTGCATGCCATTTTAGGGGGTTCAGCCACCACTACCCCCGCCGTGTTGTTTGACTCCTTCAATGGAGATGGAGGCAATACGGAAGCAGGTTTTGGGGACGAAGAAGATGATGATGATGAGGAGGTTGTAGATAGCTCACAGCAAGCAAGCGGAGAAACCGGTTTTCCCGACAGCCAGGAACTGTTTCTCACCCTAGACCTGGAGCCAGTACCCCCCGAACCCACCCAAGGCTGCCTCCTGGACCCAGCAGGCGGAGAAGGGACCTCTGGTGAGTGTACCTTTTAAAATACTATACATGGTTTAAAAGCAAGCATGTGAAAGGATTACTTTGCCCTGGCATTTGCGGTTCTCCTAGATGTAGTCCTAAAGCCTTTGCAAAAGGTTTCTGGGGAGGGCAGCCTTATTGCGTCCTTCATGGTAGGACACTTTACCACTCCAGGCCAGTAACACGTACTCGGGAATCATTGTAGAACAAAGCATTGCAGTGTATGTTTGCTAGCATTCAAACAACATCCGTTCTTTATCTCTCTGTGTTATCCTCAGGAGAGTGAGATATAATTCATGGTCACCTGGTTGAAATAGAGTGCTTTTCTTCAGGGGACACTCAGAGGAGCCCATTCCTGCTGGGCTGTTTGCCTGTGGCTAAACAGAAATGTTCCCCGCTGTTAGCCACAGGGAGGGGGGAAGGTTGAGGGGGTAGTCACGCGGTGGGAGGAGGCAAAATGTGACCTTGTAACGAAAGCATATGTGCTATGTATGTAATGTTAACAGCAAGGTTTACCCTGAAAGAGTGTAGCCACTGTTTTATAAAATGTGTCTTTTTAAATACTGCTGTCCCTTTTTTTTTCTCCACCAGCTGCATGTGTTTCAATGATCACAGGATCTTCTCCTTCCCAGAGGCTAGTGAAGCTTAGAAAGAAAAAAAAACGCACTCGCGATGAAATGTTCTCCGAGCTCATGCTGTCCTCCCACACTGACAGAGCACAGACGAATGCGTGGAGGCAAATAATGTCAGAGTGCAGGAAAGCACAAAATGACCGGGAGGAGAGGTGGCGGGCTGAAGAGAGTAAGTGGCGGGCTGAAGACAGGGCTGAAGCTCAAATGTGGCGGCAGCGTGATGAGAGGAGGCAGGATTCAATGCTGAGGCTGCTGCAGGACCAAACCAGTATGCTCCAGTGTATGGTTGAGCTGCAGCAAAGGCAGCTCGAGCACAGACTGCCACTGCTGCCCCTCTGTAACCAACCGCCCTCCTCCTCAAGTTCCATAGCCTCCACACCCAGACGCCCAAGAACGCGGTGGGGGGGCCTCCGGCCAACCAGCCACTCCATCACAGAGGATTGCTCAAAAAAAAAGAAGGCTGTCATTTAATAAATTTTAAAGTTGTAAACTTTTAAAGTGCTGTGCTTAAAGTGCTGTGTGGCATTTTCCTTCCCTCCTCCACCACCCCTCCTGGGCTACCTTGGTAGTCATCCCCCTATTTGTGTGATGAATGAATAAAGAATGCATGAATGTGAAGCAACAATGACTTTATTGCCTCTGCAAGTGGTGATTGAAGGGAGGAGGGGCGGGTGGTTAGCTTACAGGGAAGTAGAGTGAACCAAGGGGCAGGGGGTTTCATCAAGGAGAAACAAACAGAACTTTCACACCGTAGCCTGGCCAGTCATGAAACTGGTTTTCAAAGCTTCTCTGATGCGTACCGCGCCCTCCTGTGCTCTTCTAACCGCCCTGGTGTCTGGCTGCGTGTAACCAGCAGCTAGGTGATTTGCCTCAACCTCCCACCCCGCCATAAACGTCTCCCCCTTACTCACACAGATATTGTGGAGCACACAGCAAGCAGTAATAACAGTGGGAATATTGGTTTCGCTGAGGTCTAAGCGAGTCAGTAAACTGCGCCAGCGCGCCTTTAAACGTCCAAATTCACATTCTACCACCATTCTGCACTTGCTCAGCCTGTAGTTGAACAGCTCCTGACTACTGTCCAGGCTGCCTGTGTACGGCTTCATGAGCCATGGCATTAAGGGGTAGGCTGGGTCCCCAAGGATACATATAGGCATGTCAACATCCCCAACAGTTATTTTCTGGTCTGGGAATAAAGTCCCTTCCTGCAGCTTTTGAAACAGACCAGAGTTCCTGAAGATGCGAGCATCATGCACCTTTCCCGGCCATCCCACGTTAATGTTGGTGAAACGTCCCTTGTGATCCACCAGAGCTTGCAGCACTATCGAAAAGTACCCCTTGCGGTTTATGTACTCGGCGGCTTGGTGCTCCGGTGCCAAGATAGGGATATGGGTTCCGTCTATAGCCCCACCACAGTTAGGGAATCCCATTGCAGCAAAGCCATCCACTATGACCTGCACATTTCCCAGGGTCACTACCCTTGATATCAGCAGATCTTTGATTGCGTGGGCTACTTGCATCACAGCAGCCCCCACAGTAGATTTGCCCACTCCAAATTGATTCCCAACTGACCGGTAGCTGTCTGGCATTGCAAGCTTCCACAGGGCTATCGCCACTCGCTTCTCAACTGTGAGGGCTGCTCTCATCTTGGTATTCATGCGCCTCAGGGCAGGGGAAAGCAAGTCACAAAGTTCCATGAAAGTGCCCTTACTTATGCGAAAGTTTTGCAGCCACTGGGAATCGTCCCAGACCTGCAACACTATGCGGTCCCACCAGTCTGTGCTTGTTTCCCGAGCCCAGAATCGGCGTTCCACAGCATGAACCTGCCCCATTAGCACCATGATGCATGCATTGGCAGGGCCCATGCTTTCAGAGAAATCTGTGTCCATGTCCTGATCACTCACGTGACCGCGCTGACGTCGCCTCCTCGCCCGGTATCGCTTTGCCAGGTTCTGGTGCTGCATATACTGCTGGATAATGCGTGTGGTGTTTAATGTGCTCCTAATTGCCAAAGTGAGCTGAGCGGCCTCCATGCTTGCCTTGGTATGGCGTCCGCACAGAAAAAAGGCGTGGAACGATTGTCTGCCGTTGCTCTGACGGAGGGAGGGGTGACTGACGACACGGCTTACAGGGTTGGCTTCAGGGAGCTAAAATCAACAAAGGGGGTGCCTGTACATCAAGGAGTATTTCAGGCAGGACTTCACGGAGGGTTCCAATAAGAAATGGTGCACCTAAGTTATCGTTCTTATTGGAACAAGGAGGTTAGCCTGGCCTCTGATTGATACATGGCTAGATTTACCTCGCTGCACCTTCTCTGTGAGTGACTGCAGTGTGACCTAGAGGAATGAGTCCCCTAGACAGGGGAGGAGGCAAATGAGTACAAAACAAATCTGGTCTATTTCTTGTTTTGACCCACTCCATCTATCTTTTACATCTTTGGCTGGCAGCAGAGGGTGCAGAAGGACTGCATGCCATCCACATCTCATGGCTGCTCGGCAGAAGATGGTACAGTACGACTGCTAGCCATCCCCATCTCTTGCCTGCCTGGCAGAAGATGGTACAATACGACTGCTAGCAATCCTCATCTCTTGCCTGCCTGGCAGAAGATAGTACAGTACGACTGCTAGCAGTCCGTATCGCCTGCCCGCTCACCATAAGACGGTTCAATAGGACTGACTGCAGGACTAAAGAGAATGACCTGGTCAAGTCACTCCAAATTTAGTCCCTGCGCCCATATCTGCCCAGGCGCTCCCAGCCGACGTGGCCAGGACCACCTCGGACACGACGAGGACGACTACCAATCGTATTGCACCGTCTGCTGCCAGAAGGCAATGGGTTGCTGCTACTGTGCCCTTGCTTTCACGGAGGGAGGGAGGGAACGGGGGCCTGACGATACGTACCCAGAACCACCCGCGACAATGTTTTAGCCCCATCAGGCATTGGGATCTCAACCCAGAATTCCAATGGGCAGCGGAGACTGCGGGAACTGTGGGATAGCTACCCACAGTGCAACGCTCCGGAAGTCGACTCTAGCCTCGGTACTGTGGAAGCGCTCCGCCGAGTTAATGCACTTAATGCACTTAGAGCATTTTCTGTGGGGACACACACACTCGACTATATAAAACCGATTTCTAAAAAACCGACTTCTATAAATTCGACCTTATTCCGTAGTGTAGACATACCCTTAGAGACTAACCAATTTTATCTGAGCATAAGCTTTCGTGAGTTACAGCTCACACCCTGTTACTGTCCTCCAGAACTGACTTTACTGGAATTATTCCAGATTTACACTGGTGTAGCTGAGAGCAGAATTTAAACCTAAATGTTCCCAGTCTGCCTTTCAGAACAATGCAGTGGCGTGACATAGTCACTCTCCTCTTTGGAGAATGCAATGTCCTCAGTGCCTGTCAGACTATTTGAAATTCCTTTCTGAGTTCTCATCTCCACCCTCAAAATGGATCGCTGTGCTGCAAATAGAATTTACCATGCCAGTCCGTGGATGCTCAAAAACTGCTGTCAGAGATATTTCTGTAAAAATATGCCATTATAAATGCTTCGGAGCAATGGGAGCTAATCACACAGGGTTGGTCTGGTTTGGGGGTAAACATCATTGACTCAATAGCTACAGACCTCGTCCTCCTGTCTGGAAACTGCCACTTCTAAATTACCCAACTGCACTCCAGCTGAGAGTCCAGATCTGAACTCTCCCAAATTTGGGGGCATCTGAGTCTCAATACTAGAGCATTTCTAAAATTAACACCGTAGATAGTATGCTGCTCAGGTCTGTGCATTGCCTGTAGCCGAGTTCATCAGAGCTTAGCTGTGGGGGAAATGAACAACCACCATGGTACAAATACAAAATGAAAATAAGTCAGTCAGAACAGCTTTGCTACAGTCTGTGTTCCTGAAGCGTTTGGTTTATGCTAAAGGATCAAGAGGGGCTCCATAGTTAGCTAGTCTCATGCCGGAGGTGCCAATGGACTGGTTTGTCCTCCTTCACCACATCCCAAAAGACCAGCATATCTTAGCATGCCAGAGTATCCACTGAAGGTACAGCAGCTCCATCCATCTAACTGATCAGGAGGAAGAATGATCCAGTAGTTACAGTGCCAGCCTGAGCCATGAGAGACCTGGTATCAATCTACCACAGGCATCCTATGTGACCTGAGGCAAGTTACTTTGTCTCTCTAGGCCTCCATTTCCTGTAGAATGGGGGAAATAGCTCTGCCCTACCACACAGGTATGTTGTGAAGTTGAATAAATGCATTACAGTCTGTGAGGTGCCCAGGTACTATGGTGACGTGGGCCATATAAAGTATCATAACTAGATTATCAACATACCTGCCACTTGCTGAGCACTTTTTGTGACGTGTTTACAGTTGCTCCATCATACAGCACCCCTCCCCCCCCACTTATAGTAGACTTATACTCTACACGGGCCTCTTTTCTACCCAGGCCCTAGACAAGCTGCCCTCACTCATTGGCAGAACCTTTAATAAGGCACACAGAACAACTGGTTCTGCATAAATCGTTCAGCTCTGCAATGAATGATTATAATGATTAATTATTTGTATTCCAGTAGCACTTAAAGGCTGCAACCAAGATTAAGGCCTAGTGTGCTAGGCTCTGAGCATAGTAAGAAAGACTTAACACCAATCTTATATCTATTTTTCTCAGCGTTTTTTTTTTCCTTCCCATTTTGAGAAGAAAAATCAATCTTTGTGCCAAAAGACAGACAATGCAAGCAGATGTGAGCATTTACTTTCATGGCCATGCAGTTTGGAAAAGTGCTCCAAGACAGGGCTCTGAAATGGGGGGTTGGGTGGAGGAGGGAAAGGTTATTATTCATCTGGCTTTTTTTTTGGTTATCAAGCAGTTCTATTTATTGAATGACTTGAATGGCCAAGAGAGTAAGGAAAAAGGACAGGAGGTTTCTGCATGTCATAATAAAAATAAACCAAATCTAACAGTGACAACTCACAGCAAGGGTGGGCTCAGCAAAGTGCTGGGAAAAGTGGAGCAAAACACCCCCAAGAAGACTGCTATGAAATTTGGGTTTTTGCTACATTTACACATATCGCAGCAGATTCATATATATCCTGGTATAGGGGCACTGGTTAGTGAAAAGCATCTATTTTAGATACTTACAGGGCCCTGTCTACTGTAATATCCAAGAGCCTCACAATCTTTTCATGTATTTATCCTCATAACAACCCCTTGTGCTATGAGGCTAAATAGGGAAGTGCTATTTATCCCTATTTTATAGATAAGGAACGGAGGCAAACAGGCACACTAAGGGTATGTCTAAACTTGCCATTTAAAGCAGAAAAAGTTCCTTTTTGCGCAAAAACCGTGGGAGTGTCTACACTTGCCAATGACTTTTTGTGGTGAAACTCACCACAAAAGAAAATCACCTGCACGAGAGGTGTACAGCTCTTACTGGTGATGCTTTTGCGGTGATG